GGGAGTCTCCACAAAGGAATATTTCATGTGAAGTGTAGACTGTGGGGTCTAAGGGCATGACTAGGTATTAGCACAGTATTCTGTCAGGGGAGTCTAGTGTTTAGGTGAGAGATAAGGGGAGGACTGGGAGGAGGGTGCTTTAAAGATACTTGTACTCTTCCCCTGAGGAAGCAATAATTTAATCCATATAAGTAGCCTTTGATAGTATTTAAGCACTTAATGGACCTTTTATATAGAAATATGATGTTTTGGCAAGTGGGGAGAGACTGGTGATTGAGGTAGCTACTTTTGTAGTAGTTGCAGAAAGAGAAAAAATAGGAAATGGAGAAGAGGCCAAAAGACTTGAATATGAAAGGATTAAAGACAGATGAGACACACTGATTTTAAGTCTGAGTAAAGAGAACTTGAGGCCCGCCCTGGTGGCACAGTGGGTTAAAGCGCAGCACTGCAAGCTAACCACAGCTGCCTTAGTGAGAGCTCCATCCCCAGGCCCAGAGGTGACCCACAAGGAGCAGCCCCCTGCACCCCTCAGCAGTGTACTTTGTAGATTTGCCTGTTCTGCTCCCTGCTCTGTCTCTGGTGAATCCTCTCACCGCCCCTGCAACTCTGGCCTGTATGCAAAAATAAATCTTTGAGAAAAAAGAACTTGAAGTGAAAAACAGGCAATAAGTAGGAAAGACTGGGTATTTGAGAAAGAAAGTGACATTTGGAGTGCACGTGTGTGTTTGTGACCACAGCTGTATATAATATATGCATAAACATGCTCACATATTCTCACAGCAGTTCATTTATTTGTATGTTCTCATCTTTGTATGTTCCCTTCTCTTCTCCTTTTTTCTCATATTCTTTTCCGTGGTAAACAACTCCTAGTCATTCAGCTTTTTCTTACTATTTCCCCCTTTAAAAGCGGGAAATGCAAAAGAAAACCTCTTGTACACGATATTTCTGATTCTATACAATGATCATCAGTGAGACTTGAAACAGGTATATACCAACATTTCAGAATTTTGCAAATGGACGTTCATTTCCTTTTACTGGTTTTTTGAGAATAATCACCCATTTGGCACCAACTTAATTGCAGGTAACAAGATCCCTGAGAGGCAATCACAAGGAGCAGGTGTTTCTCTACCGGCTGTTACTTTCAACACTTTTGGGGCTGACGTCAGTAATTCCGATTTCTTGGTATTGTTGGCTGTGGTTTTCTGCAAAGCTGATCTGTTTAACCTGGAGTTTCACATTAGTTGCTGGAACCATTTGGATGTTGACACTCAGAATTCTTTAAAAAATAGTTTTCTGTGTGTTTAGACTGTCCTCTTACCTGTCTTTGTAGGAGGTGACAGACACTCAGGACAGCTCCTGGAGTAGAAAAAAATTATCTCTACAATGGAAAGCCCCATGGGAAGGAGACAGGAGGAAATAAGAATAACCTTTGTAAATGTGATAATGCCAAGGAGTAGCAATTAACTGTGACTCTGCCCTTCTCTCCAGAAATTGGTGGGCAGTGTTCAGAAAGTTTTTACTGAATGTTGTAGAGAGAAGTGGGATCCTGACAAAAAGGCCAGATGCTTGAATGTGAATTAGTGGGACAAGATACCATTCCTTCATTTTCTCTTACTTATCAAATTACTAAATAGGCAACTTCCAGAAAAGTGATGCACTTAAGAATTGAGATATGAGATCTTGTGCTTACCTCCATGTTGTGTGTTTCTGACTTGGCTTCTGCCTCAGGAACTTTCACATAATTCTGGCCTCATACCCACCTGCTACCAAGATGCCAAGCATTCCTAAATGTAAACATATATTTGATCGTTTAATACTTTGAGGTGGAAAACTGTTTATTTCACTACAAAAAAAAAAAAAAAGGAAATATATTGTCCAATCCATTTTGTAGCATGTTTGGAGTCAATATGCAACCATTTTTCTTGAAAAGGTTTCCAGAGCCCATAATGAGACATTCCTGGAAATGGCAACGGTCTCTTCAGGTTACTTGAGGGCACTCACAAGTTAGGAAACTGAGTTCAGAGCCATCATGTTGCTGTACTGTAGAATCATCTGCCAAGGTACTGCCTGTGACTCCCGGCACAGAAAAGTTATATTCCAGGAAGCACAGCAGAGAGTGAGGTAGGGGACTGAAAAGCCAACAGAGCACATTATTTGGGGACTTTTGAAACAACAGAACAAGAAAAATATCTCACTTGTAAATAAGAATCCTCCCCTCCTTCCCCCATTGCAGGAAGTGAGTACAGAGTAAGGGCCAGCCAGGAAGTCAGTCTGTTACTTAGCAGCAGTAGGGGCTGCAGTACTGAACTTTGAGCTCCTCTTAGCTGGCTGAGCTGCAGATGATATCTTTTGCAAACTGACAGCTGAAGTATTTGGTTTTGGTTTGCCACTGAGGGGGGGACATTGTGAATCAGTGCATAGCAACAAAAATTGCGTTTTGAATATTAATGCCTCATCTTTGAAATCAACTATCTAAAAACAGAAGAAAAGGACCCCATCAGCTCGACTGCAGGCATCTTTGTATATTAGTGACGAGCCAGGGGTAAGGAGCCTTACTCCACAGTCATAATTGAATGTGTCGCTTGCAGGCCTGCCAAATTGCTAAACCTAGGTTTCTCATATTAGATAATGTGTAATAAAAGACAGCTGTTGCCAACATATGCTGTTCTTTGCACACCACCAGTTCTTCATTCAGGAATTTGGGTGCCTTCACTGCACCCTGAGAAAAAGCTCTCAGTCTGGGAGGTCAGTCTAGAGAGTGAGACTTTACCCCTGAGAGTCTAGAATAATTGGGCTGCACTCACTAAGGAAAGGGCTACAGGGAAAACAACTATTCCCCGAATGTAAGACCTTTGATAAGAACTTAGGCATACTTCTTTGCACTTAGGCAGATAAGTAGGGTGTGCAAGCAAGGTCATATTCTGAGAACATTCCTTTCTCCATTGCTTGAGTCTGACAGCCCAGATCAAAAAACAAGCAGGCTTTGTGTCAAGACATGGCACGTGTCAGAGACTTTGATGGTGCCTAATTTATTTAAATTGTTTTTTATTTAAATATGAGGTGCCTGAGACGGCTCACTGTTAATCTAGAATAGGGATTAATTTGTCATTTGACTTAGTCTGATTTTTTTGTGTGTCACTGATAACCCAAATCAGTCAGTCCACAGGAAAGGGAGTATCTCCATATGTCTCACATTGTGCTAGGCAAATAGTCTCATTTTGTTTAGTCAATGAACTAGAGAAAGAGGTTAGCAGAAAGGAACTGAGGAAATTTCCTTCTCCAAAGAGGTCTTGGATTTTTTTTGTGGATTTATGAGATTTTTAGATTTGTATCTATTGAGAGTGATTTTTGTTTTAGAAAGTAAGTTGAGGGGAGATCAGGTGAAATTTTGAGGTTTCTACTAATCTTATGATTATTGCCTAGCAAAAGGGCATATAAAATTACAGAGGAAAAGCTCATACTGCTATAATTTACTAATTTTTGCCACCATTCATTGCAATTATATATTAAGGTGTTAACATTGTTTTCTATTATTTTTTTCCCACCATCATTGTTGATATTTCTGGATTACTTGTTTTCCTTCATTTTTAATCCTGGCGTATTTCAAAATTTTATTGAATATTTTTCAGTGATTACTCTTGAATTTTCTTTTTGATGAATAGTTAATGAATGAGAAAGTTGCACAGTATCTTGACACATTCCTTCTGAACTTGTAAATTTTACCTGCAGTGTTTCATCATTAGTCACTTGTTTGTATTATTGTTTGATAGTTTACCGAAAAAAAATTAAATTGCTGTTGGCATCCCACATTAATACTTATAAATATCTTGTAGCCAATCTAGAGGTTCTTTTTGAGCCTGAGTCTTCTTTGCACAACCTTCTGGATGATATAAATCATTTGAGTTCCAGAACTGACAAAAGAGGGAAGTATAATAAATTTACAGCATTTTGATGGCAAGCGATCTTTTAACTTTACTGATTAATGGCTGGAGTCTGAATATTGAGTCATTCCAGAAATGTGAGATGGCTGACATTTGTTCCTTATAATTCAAATCATTTGCAATCTTCTTTTGTGCATTAATTTCTTCTGTGGATTTTTTCCTGACTTTGATCCACTTCTTCTTTTACTTTATTCATTTGAATTGACTGTGCTTGTATCGCCTGAAATTATATATGTGGATATTTACTAACATATGACAGTCACATTAGGTTGATATTTAAGCCGTGGGTCAGCTAGTAGCATATGTGTATGTTAATTCCTAAACACACAAAAATATAAAGCAGTCACCTAAAAAAAACACTCTTTGTTAGCTTCTCCTCTGTACACACTGGTAGAATATGTTCTACAAAGTTATGTTTCTATGATCTTTCCCCAAATTATGCAAGTTTGGGAAGTTACAGCATTCGGAGGTTCCTTTTCTTGTATGGAAATCAGATTTTCACTCTTTTAAAACTATTGCAAAAATAAATCATAAACAGAGGTTCTGACTTTCAGCTCCCAACTGACTGTATTTCTGTATGAATTGGTTCTTTAAACATTATTTTATCCTGCTAACACAGTAACATGTTGAATTATTAAAACAAACAGTTTTCCATTACCCTCCAAAACTATAAAGTATTTGGGTTTTATAGGCCATTATATGAATGTTATTTTGGGGTTCCAGTGTATTATAAATTGTTATGAATCATCTTTCAGAGGCTGTTTTAAACACACATTAGACGTTGAGTACTTTTGGGAAGTTTTGGAATTTTTGCCACAGTTTATTATTATCAAAGCCTCTTTTAATCTTTTGAAAGGATGCTGAAAATTTCCTTCCCAATTTCTCCGTTGCTATCACCAGGGAATGCAAGTTACTGTCATTATGTAACAATTTCCCAGGAATTGGGCCAAGGAAGCTGGTTCAAAAAATGTGATAACAAATAAAGTCCTCTACAGTTTAGGATATTTTACAGCTGTGTCTTAAGGACCTTTTGTTGACTGTGCTTTTTGTGTTTTGCAGCTTGCTTTGACGAGAACAAGTTCTTCAGGTGACTTTTCCTGGTCTCAAAGGTAAAAAGATTGATTTATCTTATGGTCTCACCAGACTGTTGATCGCATACACACACAGTTTGTATATATGATCTCATAAATAACAGAGTTTACATAAATATCCATTATTTTTAATTATGACTATTAACTTTAGTGTTTAGTACATTCCAAATATACTTTGATTCCTTGTTTGTTTATTTGTTTATTTATTGATATTACAGAAAGCTTGTTACCGTGGAAAAGCAGGATAATGGAACATTTGGATTTGAAATTCAGGTGAGCAGTTTCAAATTCTCCAGGCTTTTAATGAAGAAAATAGCACTGATAGTACCATGACATTTGCAAAGAATGAAGTCTGGAGTGGAGAAAAATAGAGACTGTGCCCTTTATTCAATATGTGTTTGTTTTGGATAGTTTTTTTCAGCATGTTGGGTACCATCAAAGAATGAAAACATTGTCATAGCAAATACAAAATCCTCCAAACAAACCTCAGCTCCTTGCTTTTGCTTTACCTTCCATTAGAACTGAGACTGATCAAAGTTGTTCATTATCAACCTGGCTTTAAACAAGAGTAAAGTATTCCTTATTGCTTTCTAATTTATTTCTTTACCTTTCTGATGTTTTGCTTAATTATTTATACTGTACATCAGATTTTAAATCTTTACTTTAGTGACACAGAATTGCAACGTCAGTGTGTTATTTTATGGTTAGGAACAGTAAGCAGATAGGTCTATCACACTTAATGAGTAAGGAACAAAATGAAATTCTAGCTGAATGCAGAGGAGAATAATGTAGGAGAAAGGTACCTCCAACTTTTGAACTCTTCTGTCTTTAAATTTGGTGATATCTACAGTTCTTCCCTCAGGTTTTAGAAGCATATTCCACTCTTATTTTCCATTCACATGAACCATTCCCTATTTGGGGGTAGAGACACTGTGCTTTTTGTGACCAATTCTTTTAAAATTAGAACTACCGACAAGGATGTGCAGCAGTTGCTTCTAAGAACCATGATTATGGGCCCTCCCTGATGGCGCAACAGGTTAGGACGCAGCACTGCGAGCTAGCGCAGTCACTTCAGTGTGAGTTCCATCCCCTGCCCCGGAGGTGACCCATATGGCTGGCGTGGCAGACCTCTCCTGACCCACCCCTGCTCCCCTCAGCAGTATACTTCATCAATCCGCCAGTTTTTCTCCCCACTCTGTCTCTAGTGAATCCTCTCATGGTCCCTGCACCTCTGTCTTGTACCCCAGTTCTGTATGCATAAGCAAATAATAATAATAAAAAGAATCATGATTACCTTCTTACTTATCTTTATTTAATATGACAAATGAGGACTTTCCCTCAGTCTGTTACAGGGTAGCCCAGAGTGGACTGGGCTGTCTGTGGGACCTCACCCACACGCTCACAATTCAGTTATACTGTAGATACACACAAAAGGGTCAATAATAGGTTTATTTACAAAAGGGGAAAGGAATAGGAAACAACCCAGGAAAGAGAGCTGGATATAAAGTAACTGGAATACCTTACCTACGAGGTTGACTGAAAACACTGAGTTACCCGGTCAGGAGAGCTGTTTCCCGAGCCCAAGAGAGATGCAGTCACACCCTATTTATCCCCCAAATGTCCCAGAATTCCTGCTAGCTCTTTGGTCCTCACAGTTCTCTCCCTGGTACTGCTGGGAGTTGTAGTTTCCAATCACTGGAGTAGGGGGTGGAGTACAGAAAGCTGGAGTAGGGGGTGGAGGTCCACAAGACTCTGCAGAGTTCCTTTAGGACATCCTTCCCCTTAACAAGTCTTTGATAATATATGATGCTGTGCTCTCACTTCTCTTTCATACCATAAACTCATAGTCTAAATGGAGCAACAGTCAAAGCTGTTATTAGCAGACAAATAGCTACAGCGCCATGAAGATCCATATGAGCCACTGGTTCACCCATGGTCTGTAACATGCATGTGTAGCTCACAACACAGGGCCTCCCTCCACTGCACATAACCTTTTAGGTATGTGCTTTTTGTTACCAGCTCTAAGCCACAATCTATGCTCTAGGATTAAGAGTTGTAGTAATATTAAATAAGGGAAACACTCTGGGAACTTTTGGAAAACCCTGTAGAGCCTCATTATCTATACTATATACTGGTTGTTAGCATTATTTGGCTGTGGTCTTCCAGGTGAAGGGTACATGCACAGAGAACAAGTTCACCTTTCTCTGGTTTTCCACAGGTGCTAGTTTTATATTGCTAATGTTAGGAACACAGACTTTAGATTCATGCACAACTGAGTTCCTGTTCTCTGGGTGTTTTAGGAGTTTCAAATGGTATATAACAGAGTACATCCTTAGGAGCCTGTAGAAGATCAACAAATGACAGGTGTCATAATGAGGATCATTGGGCATAAGAAAGGGTGGTGTGACTTCTGTGTCTCTAGGGAATTCAGGTGATCATTCTGTCATTGGCCCCTAAAAATGAGAGCTAGAAAACTGTCTGAGAGAGAATTAAGTAGATATTCCTCTATCTACTTATTCCTCTCCATTACTGTAGGGCCTCTTTATTTTCTCCTCTTTTATTAACTTACAAATTATATACTCATTGTAAATAGATATGTGGTACCAACTACATAAACCATCATGATTTCCCTTCATCATATTCACTTTGATCAATGAACCTGAGGAATCAGTGTTGCAAAGACAATCATTATGACAAAGGAGTTCTGTTATAGTTTTGGTTCATATTCTAGACTGCCCTGTTACCTTTGGAAGGGTTGAACCTATTGAAAGAAGACTTATTGGCAGAAAAGCTGTGAAAGGATTCTCTGATATAGATAGAAAGAGTATTGCATGAGTTTTGAAAGTTCTTCCTGTAGTTAAGATATGGGGATTCTAAACACCTTATAGAAAGAATAGAAGCCCTGTCCAAGGTTAACAAAATAAATTTTCTTGAAATTGTTTACCTTGACTAGTCGACTATGGCTCTGTAGCCAGTACAGCTCTAAAATAAGGAGTGAACATAATACTTTAATTTCTCCTCAAGGAAATAGTACAATGTGGTTTTAGGAACCACCTGTCAGTACTGCAGTGTGGTTTTAAGCAACTCAGAATGCTGTCGTTATACATCAATAAATGGAACTAGCCTTCATAACTTATTTGTGAAAAAGTAAAGTATATTATAGGTGTTGGGTCACTGTATAGAACAAACATAAATGTAGTGTTCTTGGTACAATTTGTAAAAACAAAAACAAAAGCAAATTATCCAGCCAAATCACTGTTGTCAAATTTAGGCAAGTGGCAAAGCATAACTCTTTCTCATTTAGTCGGGTGATTAATGAACCTTTAACTATTCAGGGCAGGCGTACCAGAGAGCGCTCAGAAATGAAGGTAATTGAGTCAATTATTATACTTTTGAATTAATGCAGGGCAGATTGTCATTATTTGCAGAACTCTGATTTTAAATAATTGTTTTTGGCTTATCTCCCTTGCTGGATGTGTACTGTTTCTTACAGTCCTGTAATGAATGCTGTAGCTTTGAAGAACCACACGGAGCCTTTTCTCTCTGCTCTTGGCCACTATTGTTTTAGCCCATTAATCTATAATGTAATAATTGATAGTATCAGTGGAACACTTAGGCTTAAAAGTATAAAATTTCAAGCATTATTTTTTCTCCATCCTTTTTGAACCAGAATAATTTTATGAATGGGGTTGGCCACAGATTGTCGGGTAAAAATGCAAAATTTTGGTACCTTTGATTCAGTGTGTAGTCAGGAAAACCTTTCCAAATTGCTCTTTGCACCTATGTTATCACTTCAGTAACTGCCAGACTTTATTTTTTGACAACTAGATTTTTAAGTTTCTGAATAATAATTATGTATCACTTTAATTTTATAGACTTTCAGACTCCAGAGCCAGAACACCTATTCCTCAGAGATGTGCACGCTCATCTGTAAGATCCAAGAGGACAGCCCAGCACAGTGTGCTGGTCTGCAAACTGGTAACTTGGAATTTTTGTTCATGTTAGAAATTATTTAAATAACAATGAAACTTTCAATAGTGAAGGTCAGGACATGGGTGTTGCATTGGACATTTTTAGCGCCTTTATATGGCCAAGGTTTTGGGCTTGCTTGTTTTGTTTTATTTGTGTGCCAGAAGGAATTCTTTACCTGCTTCAACATTCATTTTTCTTGGCATCTCCCAGGTGATGTCCTTGCAAATATCAATGGTGTGTGCACGGAAGGCTTTACCCACAAGCAAGTTGTTGACCTGATCAGATCGTCAGGAAATGTGCTAACGTAACTATCCATCTGCTTCCTTTGGGGCTTCAGAAATGTTAAGGTCTCTCATAATGCCTGTTGAGTGAATGAATAAGCTTTTGTTCAGGATCACAAGAAGGGAGGCAGTAAAAAAAAAAGCTTGGGGATTGGGTACAGACTTTTTTTTTTTTTTTATCAGTTCCTTTTGTTTCTCAAGGTTTCCTCAAACTTGAACATGTTGTCAGCATCTGAAGTCAGAGGACATCAATAGCCCAAATATGTGTGTGGGAGGGATAGGATTTAAAATTTATTTTTTATGCCACATTCAATTAAACTGGTACACATTCTCTTTGAATGGAGAGTAACTGGTCCAATTTCCACGGCTGATATAATCTTGAGGTTAGAACAAATCAAAGGTCAAAAGGACTGATTTTTTTTCTCTTATGCCACAAGCCAGTTGTTTTTTTTCTTTTCCAGTGTTTCATTTAGAGAAAAGAACAAGGTCTGCACACTTCTTCCTGACCTAGAACACACACACACACTCATATTCTAGATTTTCTGATGCAATTTTGTCTTCCCCCATGAGAGATATGACTAATTTTTCCATCACACCATTCCTAGGGCTTAATGAAAGCTTAGTAATCAGTTAAATGATGGGGTTCTTTTTATCAACTTTTTTTTTTCCTGTTAAGATGGCATTATTGAACAAATACTAGCTCTGTGATAGGTTGAGTGGAGACAAAGATAAAGAATCTTCCAGGCTTTATTAATTATGGAAAGAGATGGATCTGAAAAACCTACCAAAATATATTATTTTGACATTTTGGTTATTGATAACTGCTAAGGAGTCAGAGGGCTGTTGCCTTAGCTTAAGTGTTGAAAGTAGTTCTCTCAGAGGAGGACAAATAGGAGTTGAGATCTCAAGAAAGAGAAGGGATAATTATTCGAATTCCTGGGTAGACCATTAAAGGTAAAGAGAGAGGTTTCTGAATTCTAACACGGGCTTTGCACATTTAGGGAAAAGACAGAAAGCTCGTTTAACTGGTGGCTGGTGGATTAGGGAGAATATAAGAAAGGAAAACAGACTTAAGCTGGGGTCTAGGCTAGGTCTCACCAGCATGCCAGGTAGTTTAGGTTTTATTCAAATAAGGAGGGCCCTATAAATTATCTTGTTCATTCTTGTTGGCCACCTTGTGAAGTTGGTTTATTCCTATTTATAGATTAAGTGACTGAGGCTTAAATAAGGGTCAGTTATCCAGTTAGTAAGTGACAGGTTTGGGATTTGACTACCTGCTGTCTGTGCCAAGATCTGTCCTCTTCAACTGCACAAGCTGCCCACAGAAAATCCACTGTAAGCTTTACAGTGATTCCAGTCTAAAACCTCAAACGTTGTTTTGGGTATATGTGGGAGTTTTGAAAAATCACTAGAGGTGTCAAGAACAGAGTCCTCTGTTTATGAGTTTAAGGTTAAAGGAAGGGGAGTAGGGGGTGCACTCTTGCTCCAGAAAAATGACTATCAGACAGGGACCATATGGAGTTCAAGAGAAAATGCTGACTGTTAGTCAGAAAGGTATGTTCCACCAGGGCAGACATCAGGTGGATAATTAAGGATGAGTGAATGCAGAAAATGAGAAACTCAGAGACTGGAAACATGAGAGACAGTCTCTACAAAGCACAGCTATTGGATATCTGTGGTTTGCCCATAGACATCTGTTGTTTTATTAGATCAGATCAACATTAAGAATCACAGTAAAACAGATTCAAAGGCAGTCCCATCATTTGTCCAGAATCAAGACCACCATGATAAGATGACAGGGTTTTGGTGTGCTACTCTATCATTATCTTGGCTATGATGCTGCTGTTAAATTGGAGGAAAATTTGTCTCCACATTTGATGCTATTTTTTAAATTTAATGACTTAAATATTTCTTTCAATTTTACCAGTAGAGTTACAGTTCATTTATCAAAAGGAATTTGAACCAATATTTTAAAAGTGCTTAGAGTGTGACTCCCACATATGATTTGATAACCTTATTCAGATTGATGACTTAGTACTCAAAATAAAGACCTTTAATGTGAGTCTACAAAACAAATCAAATTGCTGAGGATAAAACAAGTCTGTTTCTTTTTAGAAAGGCATTCAGTAGAGATAGGGAGAAAAGAACATCATTAAATAGATAAATCTAGGATTAAATTTTATAAGGTTCAGAGATAAAAGAGTCATAAGAATGTTATATTATCACATAATGGTTCTGGTTCTGTTTGTTCTAGTTTCAAAATTAAGGCAATTTGCAGAGGTAAAGACTTTTAGAATCCTGGGGAGGAAAGGATTTTTCTCTGTTTCAAGAAATAGCATGTTGATTCCACTGCTAAAAAGTCCCCGGTGCCTGTTTTCTTTGCTACACTCCTCATGCCTAGCACGGTGTATAGTCTGGCACAGAGCAGATGTCCAATAAATATTCACTATGTGAAAAAGGTGGTTCAGCCAGACCCACAAGAATAGCCTTGTAGAAGGCAACCATCACTGCCACATAGTGGTTTCTATGAGATACAATTTACAAATTAACCAAAATCTTTTCTTTCAGCTTCCCTCTCAAGAATCCCCCCCTGCCCCCCCCCCCATTTTTTCCCCTCTGAATGTTGTCAAATTTGGCCTAGGTCCAGATACTTCAGTGCTCTGAGAATCCTAACATTTATGTTGCTTTTTAAGTATAGTATGTGCTTGAAGTGTAGTACTGTGTAAGGAGGGTGCTTGTTTGAAAAGAATCACTTACGCTTCCCTCCTGCCCCTTTTTAATCTTAAAACAGGATAGAGACTCTTAATGGAACAACGATTCTCAAAAGAACTGAGCTTGAAGCAAAGCTGCAAAATTTAAAGGTAATTTAATTTAATACAGCATGGCACATTTTTCATTCTTGAATGTGTGAGTGGTAGAATAAAGATCTATTTGAGGATTTGAGATAGCCCTTGAGGATGAAAAGTCATGATGAGTCTAAACTACTGAATTATCAAGAGCCACCCAATTACCTTTGCAGGGATATTAAATTCCACACACCACTCTTTCCCTTCCTCTTTCTGTGTGTCTATGACGCTCCAGGAGGCAACAGGAAGGCACATCACTTCAAGCACTTTTCATTAACGCACCTGTAATCTCTCTTAATTTACATTTTGTTTGGAAAAAAGCAAAGGAGTTGGTTTTTTCGACATTTTCCTGTGAACTGTGTGTGTACAGGAGGGCCTGGAATTGTTGCTTTTTCATTGTCCACCTTTGTATCTTTTTATTCTATGGCATTTTTACTTCAGAAAGCATTCTCTCTACTCCTGTAACACCATCAATTTCGACAAGGAAAAATTTGTTTCCAGAAAAAGTCCATAAAGCTGGAAATTTAGTGAAACTTCCTAGGAATGGATCTTGTTGATGTTCATAAAAAATTTCAGTGGTCTGATTGAAAAAGATACTTGCACCCCCATGTTTATTGCTGCTTTATTTACAATTGGAAAAACATGGAAGCAGCCCAAATGCCCAAAAGTAGATGACTGGATTAAAAAGATGTGGTACATATACACAATGGAATATTACTCAGCAACCAAAAAAGAGAAACACATGTCTTTTGCAGCAACTTGGATGGAGCTGGAAAAGATCATGCTTACTGAGATAAGCCAGAAAGAGAAAGAAAAATACCAGATGGTTTCGCTCATAGCAGGAGTATAATGGACCAGGCGAGGCAATAACAAGAGTAATGAACAACCATATACCAGAGACATTTTGTGGGGGTGGAGTGGGGAATGGGATCAAAAATGGGGTGTGCGGAGGGAAGTGCACAGGATTATGGTGATGGCACATGGTGACTTGGTGATGGGAAACCGCAGGGATTACAATTGAGATGGAAAAAAAAAATGTACAAAATGATGTAAAAATAAACCGTTATAATAAAAACAAAAACAAAAAAACAAAAATTGTAGTGGTCTAGGATCTGCCAGGCCAAGAGGCATATGCCCTGTCTTGGCTTCCTCCCCCTCCCCCAAGCCTCAACTGCACTCTCTCCTGAGCTCCCTTTGCGTGCAGAAATGTTGCCAGTTCAGTTGTGGTATCAGGTTTACTGGATACTTAGCCATAGCTGGGGAGTATTTCCCTGTTTTGTTCTTTGGTAGAATTCTCCTAGCATCCTCTGAATCATATGCACTCATGGTTGTTTTTTAGTGGGAATCCTAAAGTACAATTTCAGTTTCTTAATTAGTTATCAGACTTGCTCAGGCATTCTGTTCAATTTTTTTTTTTTTTGAGTTATGTTTTGTTGAGCTTTATGTTTGTATTTGTTTATGCCTTTACTTCTTTTTACATAGCTGTTTTTTTTTTTCACTTTTTTTCTTTAAACAGTTTGGCTATTTTTGAGTCTTTTCAAAACCAGTTTATCTGTTTGCTACAAATGTTTGTCTTTATTTTTCAGGTCACTATGAACATGTTTCTTTATCTTTACTGATCTCATTTTCACTATAATGTGATTTCCCTGGATTTTGCAATAAAAAAGATGTGTGACTTTTTTCAGTTTGGGTAAACTGCCTTCTTTAAATATACCTTCATCATTCCTTATATTCTGCAATTCTTGTTAGAGATATTTTAGAGTCTGTTAACTTAATCTTGCATGCTTCCTAATAGCTCTTTCATGTTTTGTGTCACTTTATCTTTCTTAGTATGCCTTTTAAAATTTCTTTGTGATAATATTCAGTGATGTTGTCTGTGTTCTGTATCAAAAATGTTCTTCCGACTATGTTTTAAAAATTATTTGTCTATATGTTCTTGTTTTATTTCTTTGCTTTAAATTTCCTTATGAGCATTCATCACAGTCCTCCATCAGAAGATTACAAATATTTTTATTTTCAAAGTCTTGTATACATTTCTGTTACGGTTTTATCCAGTGATAATCTATGTACAAAATTATCAATTTTTTTGTCTTTCTTCTCAGACTTCTCTTCAGATTTCTGTGGGTGTTTTGGAGTTCAAGTTGCCCACTTTCTCTGCCTTCCACTTGATCTGATTGTTGAGCTATTGCCTACTGATTGTTGAGCTAGCACTCCCAGGCTCTTAATCCCGAACCTGGTATGAGAGTTGGGACGCCTTCCCTAAAGGTGGATTGCTGCTTGGCTCAGGTCATAGAGCCAATCCTGCATTTGCTTACCTGCTTCTTGAGGTATAGACGCTATAGGGGTCATAGCCACTATCTGTGGCATTGCTGTGTCCTCTTCTCAATGTTCCTTTCTAAACAGGGAACTTGACCCTCTCCTGTGTATCTGATAAATGTATTTAAATTACATAACACCATAGGATCCAAATTCCAAGCTGCCTCTCTGCTTCTTAAGTTGCAGCAGAACTTCAGGTTCATAGGAATGATTTCTTGGCCCATTTTTTATCTTGAAATTATAATATTTTCAGTACTTCTCTTGAATCACCAATATCTGGGTCTGACTTTTAACCAGATTCAGGCTGGAGTCCCCCTCACAAATGACATTTAACTGTGACTTCTATGTAAATGTGCATTCTGTTTCACAGAGACTCTTTGGGGTGGGGGGTGGGGGTGTCACCAGCTATTTTTTAAAACAGTAGTTTCTTCTGAGTCATGTTTTCAGGGATTCCCTTTCTCATAATCTCTGATTCAAATATTTAACAAGAAAACAGGATACCTGCGAGGCTACCCATGAGAGTGAGTTTTTAAATCTAACCCTGCTCTTTACTGTATTGGTAGCCCTTGGGAAATATTTTGCTACATCAAACCTTTATTTTTTAATCTAGAACTTTTTAGGATAGTTAGGAAAATATTTAATTTAATGTTGTCTGTTAAACAGCACTTTGAGCTTAGTGAAGTAATATGAAATGCTTAGTTGTCTCAAGTAGATTGAAAACACTGGAAATGTATTTGGAACCAATCCAGATTGTCCAAGTAGAGAGCAGTTTCAGGAAGTCATTATTTCACATATTCATCCAACCAATACTAACTGAACAACTGCTATAGACAGGTGCTGAGCTGGGCACAGCAAAGTGATTTGGCCCCACACATCTGTGCTTTAATTTCCTTCTAATTGTCAGAGTTAGATTGGTACAAATAAACAATTGTGATTTTAAAAACAGGCAGAAGCAGAATCTGAAAAAAATAGGGAAGCTTCAAGATTAAAATCTCTGAGTCACTTTTTGACACATCTGCTATCTGCACCACTGTTTTCTTGGTTTAAGTGATGAGGCCCTAGATGAGTAGGCCAGATCAGCAAAGTAGATATTTGAAAATATTTATTTTTCACAAGAGTATTAGCTATTTGGAAAATTTCTGCATAGTCAGTACAACTTCCGCTTCTCTACATATTTTCTTTTAACAGGCAACCAACCCTTATTCTTTCTTGCACTCTTCTCTCCTGCTGGAGATAAACTTCTTTAAGAAAGAAAAAAGAGATTGGCATATGTGCCAGATTCTTGCTAGTTTTTTTTTTTTTTTTTTTTTGAGTTTTATTTATTCATACAGAGCTGGGGTACAGGCCAGAGATGTGGAGGGTGAGAGGATTCACCAGATACAGAGTGGGGAGCAGAACAGGCAGATCAATGAAGTACACTGCAGAGGGGAGCAGCGGGCGGGTCAGGGGCGGTCTGCCGCGCCCTGTGGTCACCTTTGGGCCCGGGATCGAACTCATACGGACGTGACTTAAGCTTCTCAGTGCTGTGCTTTAACCTGCTGAGCCACTAGGGAGGGCCATTCTTGCTAGATTTTTATTCCATGGTAAATTCTGATCTTCATATAGGCACAGATACATAAGTTAACAAGAGTTTTTGGTAGCTCACTCATCTAATAGCCATATAAACTATATTATAGTACAGAAAGAAATTAACTGGAGCCATACATTGAATGCTTTGATTTACAGCATGGATGTTATATTGACAAACAATAGAATTGTTGCTAAATATTACTGTTATCAAGACTTGGAAAATTCTGCCAGTGATTGTTTAGTCCTCAAAGTAAGGAACAAGCTGTTTTCCTTTAAGTATTTAAAGGAAATACATATATTTCTTGTCCTTGGGCCTTTACCTCCCAAATGTACTTTTCCTCCTCTTTTTAAGCCTTCACCTGCCCCTCCCAAATTGCTTCATACAAAAGACCACTTGTTTCTAAATCTCTGCCTTGCCTTTGAGATAATGTTCATTATATGTTCACATATTTGAATATATAATGTTCAGCTAATTGAAGCTGGGTTTGACTGCTGGACTAAATAACAACCAAAAATGGGATAGAGCAGCAGACAGCAGAGGGAAGGAGAATGGGCCTTTGAATGTGCTTGTCAGATGCCTCTGTCTAGTAGGCTTTGTCTTCCCATCCTCTTCCCTCTGTGGGGGCCGTTTGAAGCTCTGTGATGTCTGCAGAGCATTAGAACAGCCACTTCATTCCACCTCTGTGTGCAGGGGGTGAGGGTGGGGGTTTAGAGGAGGAAGGAAGCAGGTAAGAAGTCAGGTTTAAGTTTAGGCAAGCTTTAAGTTTAGCTCTCCAAGAAAGCCTTTCAGAACAGGTGGGCTTTTCTTTTTGGTGTTAAAAACTGATTTTCTAACAGAAAAAAGACTGTTTCAGTGCTATTGGCTTATAGGCTGATGATGGTAGTTACTGAACATATACCATGTTCCTGTCACTGTTTTTAATATTTTTTTTCTCTACTCACTCAATCCTCATGATCAGTGTTAGTTAGGCTCTATGACTGTCTTTATTTTCAGATGGGAGAAACCTAGAATGAAAATCTTGCAAATGATTGGGCGGGGTTGCTAGTGCCACAAAGAAAGGGAAAAAAATTAATCACAAATCTCAACACCCAAAGTCAATTGCTGTCTTCACTGTTTTTCTTCCTTACAGCAAAACTTGAAGAAAAAATGGGTGGAGTACCGTTCTCTACAGTTACAGGAACAGCGCTTGCTTCATGGTAAATGTGATTTCCTGTTCAGAAACCACAAAAACATTTATTTCACCCTTTCAGTATCTCTGACTTTAAGTTGTTTTAAGATTATCACTATAAGAAAGATGTTTCTGGTATAGGCCTAGGATAGTAGTTTGTGTTTCTTTGGAGTGACCTATATATTTGGAGGAGGGTTAAGTCCTGTGACACCCTCCAGGAGGCACTTGTGGATTGTATAAGTAAATTCAAGGCTAAAAAGCTGTGTTGTGTTCAAAAGCTACTGTGACTGGAATGGGTCATGCTTCTTAGGTAGAGATTCTATCCAAGATACATTTGGTACAACATATATATTCTACCTAAGATAATGTTTAAGATACATTAACACAGAGAAATCTTTTTTTCTGTGCCCCCCAAACCCAAGTCAGAAATGTGAAAGGATGTAACTATTACCACTGTGTTCATCCTGATAATTTGACATTTTCTGTGTGACTGGTATACCTGAGAAATTAACTTGTAAGTAGAAATAATTCCCTGAAGCCATTAGATATGTGGGTATGAAAAAATAAGCTGTATCTTCTTCAGAGAACTCATTCATGACCTTAAAATGTTATTTCATATATAGATAACAGGATACATTTCTTTCTTTCTTAGGCACTAATTTATGTCTTAGAGGTTTGTGTTTAAGTTCTGGATTTTGTTTTGTTTTGTTTTGTTTTTTAGTGAAATTTCTGTATCAATGATCTTTAATATGCACTAAAATTAAAATGAAAAAAATTAATAACGTGTTTTTGTAGCAAGACTAACATTTGTTAGTAAAACAGAGATACAAAAGGAAACTACTACCTGGATTTCTATAAACTGGGTGCTTAGGAAGCCTTTGCTTCCACTTCTGAAACATTTTGGAATGGAGATGTGGTTTGATAAATACAGGTAGTCCTAACCTTCATGAAAATGCCTTTGTATAGACAGAGCCCTCAGGTTAGGATTAAGGAGACAAAGTTCTCATAAAGCCATTGTTGCACACATAAAAACAAATTTTAATAATATACATATATCATATATATGATATAC